TCCCTACACTTGAAAACTAGAAGTAGAACATCTTTAACAGAGAAACGGTTGTCCGGAGATGCTGCTGTGTCCCTGGTAAACCCTGTTGTGAAATCTTGCTGGTGGCTGGGTGATAAAACCTTGCTGTAAATTGCCAGTTGCTAAATCCTTATCCTTATCCTGGAGGCAGAGTTGTTCCAGACTTAAACTTTTAACTCAGATAGTGGCTCCTCTGGGAAGTCAGGGAGGACTGTTCAACAGTGGCTTTAAAATCTGAGGCTGGAGAGAGCGCAGCAGAGATGGAGAGCGCAGTCCACGGAGTGTCCCTGTGCCGAGACATTCCCAGGTAGATAGTGAGGCACAGGCTTGGCTTCAGCACTATTTACTCTGAAGTTTTATCGCTCTGGGCAGTGGTTACGGTAGCAGCTCCTCGTGCGATGGGATTGACTGCTCTTGCTGTTTATACTGGTCTAGAGCCAAGAGCTGCTAGTCAGAACTGGTGTCACCCAGTTGATATGAACACTTAGTACGTGTGGAATAACGGCGGCTTTCACCTCTAAAATCTGCCTTGAGATAGCAGGGGGACACCAGGAAGGGACATGGTGGGGAGCCAGCGTGTGTCAGGGCAGGATTGTGATGCACTGGCTGCCATGGGAGGCTGCACAGCAGTTGCGGTGGCATACCAGCTGCGGACCAGCATTCGGTCTCCTCCAGGTTTACACCTGTGGTAGCTTGTGTGATTTTCCCTGTATTGGGGAGAAGTTGTCATCTGTTGTCTGACTTGCTTTGAGAGCAGTGAATTTAGGGTGGAATTTACCCTTGGAAGCAGTGAATGGTGTCAGGCTGCAGTCTGTCACCTTCAAACAAGCTGCCTTCACCCAGAGGGAGCAGCGGTGCTTGTGGTTCGTCCAGGTCCGTCCTGGGAACGTACTGGGTGAAGTATTATGTCCTGATCGGAAACCACAAGTCCTGAGTTGCCACCGCAGATAGAACTAATACAAAAAAAAAAAACCTAACCCAAAAAAACCCACCAAACCAAAAACCAAAAAACCCCAAACAAAACTAACAGGCAGTCTCTTTTCCTTGCAGCTTCTTGTTTCTCTGCTGTTCTTCTCGCTCATGGATCTCATCTCAGCAAAAATAGCACCAAAGGTAAATTCAGCCCCGAGGGAATTCTCACGACACTAAATGTGTCTGATCCGCTTGGTTTGCTGCCTAAACATCCTTTGTACCGGTCCTGTGAAGGCTGGTGGCGTGTTCTGCCAGAAGGAAGGGATCAGCAAGGTCCCAGACAGAGCCTGCTGAAAGCCCTCCTGTTCCAATCAGATTAAACCCGTATTTTCCTCCAGCTGACGTTATCTCCCCTTTCACTACGGCAGCTTTTATTTCTCTTCCTGAATGACTTACTATTTTCAGTTCCCTATTCCAACTACACCTCCCAAGTAGCGCAGGGACCTCACCTCTCTCAGCTTTTGTGCAGCATCTCCCTTTTGTTAGATGACGTTTTCCTCAGGCTGGAAGCGTATGTGGTATTTCCCAGGAGAAAGGGTCCCCAGCGAGGAGGAACATTGGTTTCCAGATGATTTAATGCTATTAAATGAAGGAGCAAAGATGACAAGCTGCTTCCAGCAGCTGTCTGCCCTGAGCATCCTCCCGCCTCAGAATGCTTTCTTCTGTCCCTTTGCTGTCTCTGCGGCTTTGAAGAGCAGCCGTTTGTGTAGTCACTGGGCAGATTGGATCGGGGAGCAGGCTCGAGTTAAAAATAATTATTTGGTCTCAGTGTGTCTTTGGGAGAGGCCGGAGGAAGAGTCACGGAGGAAAGAAACATCTTGAGCAAACAGATCGGGGAGGTTATTCCAAGTAAAATGAGTAATGCAAAGAAAACCAGTCCCAAGCTGAGCTGTCACTGGATGGGTGAGAGGGGAAAAAACCTGCTCTGGGGAGCGGGGTGGGGTCGGTGCAGGGGCTCTGTGCTGAGCACTGCTGGGAAGGGTGCTGGGGACGAGCGGCTGCTCATCGATGCCGCTTCCCCTTCTCTCCCAAATCCTCAGCCCTGCGTGGGCTAGTTTGGGCATGGAGGCACTGCGTTAATCCAGTCCCTGATTGCCCAGGGGGATCCAGGCTGCCAGGCGAGGGGCTAAATTCATTCATTTTACAGAGCACATCACCTACACAGTCTCTTGGGGGGGTTCCTTTCTGCTTTGATGCAACTAAAGCCCAAGACAAATCTGACCTGTCCTTTCTGCCCCCCAGGAAGGAGTGGATTTTCAGATGTCTCTGGAATGGTCCCTGGAGATCTTGCAGTGCCTGGAAGAGAGGGGCGCGTCCTGGCTGCTTCTCTTCCAGCCGGCAGAGGAAGGTGAGTGAGTCCTGCTCCTGGGGTGGAGGGGTGAGGTTTGGTGTGAGGGTATCTAAGGAACTGATGGGCCTCTGTAAGCAGCATGAAAAATGCTTGTTTGAGTAAAAGCTGAGAACATCCTGCTCTGCCCTGCAGTACAGTGACCCAGCTGGTGGTCAGGAACAATTGAAGCTGTTCCCTCAGGCAGAGAAAGCCTCAGAGGCTGTTCTCTTGGGGGTCCCCTCACCCGAGCACTACTATTCCTTGAGGGCTGGAAGGAAACCGTAGCCCCCGCACTGCTGTAGAAGCGTGAAGATGACGTGAGGACACCGGCGATCCTCAGTGCTTCTCTCTGGCTATTGCAGACCCTGGAACATACCACGTCCTGCACAGCGCAGCCTCGGGGCATCA